TGCTGTAAAAATAAACGTACTATGTCTGTAAGGTTTACCAACTATAGGGATCAATGCTGAGAAAACCCTGTCAGAAACTAGCCTTTTCGGATATTGGGTAGCAGGAAGCGTATTCAATGTAAACCACAAGTGGTCATAGGCTGAACGGTGAGAATAAAATGAAATACTGGTCAGCCATTTCAGTACTTCCAGACAGTCCCTCCTGTTCAGCTAGAAAGTTGATCCTGCCTTGGAAAACCTCAGTGATCTCGCAGCATCCATACAGAAGACCTGATGCACTCGGCAGGCTCCAGCTCCTGTCCTCTGGTGGCACCCATAACCCCAGAAGTGGCCAGATCAAAACGAATCAATCAAAGTGGCACAAAAATCCAGTGCTTCCCATGCCAACATCCAGGCAAGGGCATGTTATGGAGGCCCAGCTCGTTCGGCAGCTGGACTCTGCCCTGGGACCCAGTGGGCAGAGGCAGTGGGTTTCTGATGGAGTATGTGAAGCTTCTCCTCCTGCCCTCTCCTTCCAGGTGGGAATATCCATCAATATAAGGGTAGATTTAACTAGAAATACAATAAATACAATCAACATACATACATGTTGAAATGCTTTGGGGAAGTCTGTAAAAGGCATGAGGGGTACACAGAGCATCCAGCTGTAAAACACTGGTAAGCAGGTGATTTCCAAGTAGAATATAGTCACAGTGAAATGCTTTACCTAATGCAACCAAACAGCAACCCACAAATGATCCTCATGAAAACAAGGCTAGAGTCCAAAATCTTTTTGAAACTAGTGTAAATATTTATTCTTTTTCCAGGTTAGGAAAGGATTTTATTTCCCTGGCTCTCAAGCCATTATCTGCACCAACCCCATTTACACAGGTTTATCCAATTTTTCAGCTCTTATCTCATAAAAGCTTTATCTTTGCATTTTGTAATTACGGTTTGTTCCCAAAACTACGTAGAGTGTGCATGAAATTAAACTGACTTAGACCCTTTTCTCATATCATATCCTAACCAGCCTATAGCATTCTGGAAACTGAAATAAAACATCCTTAGCACACTGACTAATTCATCCACTGGTCATTTTTGGGGGGTACTGGTGAAAGTCATTCCTGAATGCTCAAATATTTTCATTAATGTGATATTTCTGTAAAACCTAACATTGACTTTCTATGTGTGAATTTTCAAAGTAAAATCCTTTTTTATTACAATACCCACTTGCAAAAGAAGCAAAATATTTAAAAATCATTCAGGCACTGTAATGCCACTAATAAAACTTCCCTTTCCAAGTGCCACAGTTAATTTTAAGGAACTGTTTTTAAAATCCATGATACATTCAGAAGGTAAACTCGCATTCAAGACAAACTATTCTATTGGATCCCTACAAAAAACCCCACAGTGTTTAGAAAAAACACACTGTGTTTACGTGCTAGAATTTGACAAGTAGCAGAAACACCATCAAGAGTACAAAACAAGACTCGTGCAGTCCAATTTGACTCCAAATTAAATTGCAATTAATTCAGTTAATTAATTAATTAAAAGGAGAACCTGCACACATTGGGCAGCTGACGACAGACATGCTACGGTACAGCCGAGCACAGAAGGGAGAGACTTTAGGAGCGGACAAAGACAACTTAGTGATTGCCCAATTTTTACAGAAAGTGCATAACTTCCATTTTAGATTATCTGTGATTAAAGGAGCCGGTCTTATATTTCCTAGGCACCTGTTACAATCATGACTTGTTTCCAAGCCTGATGTCATACATTTTCTCAAAGTTAGTATCAGGGCATCAAAGCACCGCCAGGTTTAAGGGGCAGGCGGACCCGGAGGTGGCACTGCCTTCACAAGGAAGAAACATCCCGCAGAAGAGTGAGCTCGCACATTGCTATGCAGGCAGCCCAAATATACATCCCTGCGTGGCACCTTTGTCCTACTAAAAATGACATACCACCTTGTAAACTGGCTCTATGCCACCCTGACAGATGGACTGAAGTGTAGGCAGCCAAGAGACTATGTATAAGCATCAAATATGTTTTTTGAGAGCAGGACTTCCAGCCAGGAATGTTAAAACAGCTGTCCACATTGAGCTTGCATGCCTACACTTAAGAGGATATGCTATTGCCACTCGAGCCCTGAGCTGGATTAACTTGGAAAATAAATAAAATAGCTTCCACAGCCACATAAGGTGAGTTTTTGCAGAATCAGGATTAGTGATACTCAGGGGGGCTACGATTAGTGGGCACACTCACGGGGTTGAAGAGCTCTTCAGTTCTGCAGCTCAGTGGAACTTTTATCATGTGCATCCTGGTAAACAAATGTTTCTCATCTGAACACATCTTTATATATGTTACTTTTCTTCGGAAAAAAAACATAGAATGCAATACCACCATGATTACGAACAAACACATTAGGGACCTTCCATACTTTTTTTTTAAATTAACTGTCCTCGCTCAGGCACATGTCTCTGTGTGACTGCAATCTGTTTCACTGGGCTTTCTTCTCTTTTCCAAACCTCAACGCCCATGGCCCACTCCAAGACTTTTTGTTAGCTCATGCCTACATGCATACATACATTTTACATTTTGACATCATTTGCGTAGCTTGCCCCGGTAATAAAATCATACTGCCTTGAGGAACAGGCATTGCATAATGCAAGATGTGTGGGGGCTGGCCTGCAGAGCCATGCCCTGGCCACCTCTATCCCATCCCCGCGCTCGGCTGCGCTGCCCGCCGCCCACAAATCCCTCTCCTCGAGGACATGAAACATTCCAAACCACTGAGAAGCTCCAAAAAAACATGTTTGCTCACATCAACGTGCCAAACTATGCTCTTTTTCTTTTTTTCCATGGAACTCAGACTTTATCCCTGCTCCTCAAAAAGTCACTGGCCTAAGTCTAAAGCGAGGTAAATGTTCAAAACTGAACAAGTTAAAAGTTTCCTCAGAATTTCACACTATTTAGAAAAGATAATACCAAGATTTCCAATGGCAAGCAACATTGCTTCTAGTCCTGAGTAACTTAAAGACCGAAAGGAGGCGATGGTACATTTTACTCGATGTTTAAACATGCTTTGTGTTCATTTTAATTCTTCTCCCTGGGGACAGGATCAGATCGCGGGCATGCATTTTTCATGTACACTCTAGCTGGGTACCTCACCTTTACTCTTCCGAATCACTATGTATGAACTTCAACTCTACGAGGGTACTCCCAGTATAGATCAAAGCTGCCTTCAGTGCCTGGCGACAGGGTCACATACAGTCTTCCAACAGCTGCTGGTGTCTTTTACCTTTGTTAACTTTAAGGCTGATCTTTGCTGCAATTAACAGTTACCTGAGTCACTTTAGTACGATTTCCTGTGCTAGAAGTGCTTCAATGGTAGGCATCGTTTCTCCTGCACAGCGAGGATTTCCCACAACTGACCTTGCCTCCCCCTTCGGTGCAGACCTCCTCCTCTTGCACCATTCATCTCTTTTACCCTTCATTCCTCACCTACAGCCTTTCCATTTCCTTTTTTCCCATGTTTTTGAGGACTGTATGAAATCAGCTATTTGCAAAAGTTGCAGCCCCCTCTCTGCTGCTCCAAACTACAGTTACTAACCTCAGCAACAAGATGCTTTACTTTTTCATACTGCCAATAAAGTTGATTCCAGGTTAATCTAAATTTCCATACCACTTAACCTTTCTCAGAGGGGAGGAAGAGAGGGAAAACACTTGTCAAATATTTCATGTGGCAGATTAGCAATGCTGTGAAAACAATAGAAAAAACACAGATAATACCTCTCCCTCCTTCCGAAAACCAACAGTGCCTCAGGCTTTCTCAAGACACCACACATAGACTGTGCATGGCTTTAAAATGGTCCAGGGAACAGTCAAACTGCTGAAGAATAGGTCAAAAGAAGTAAAAATACTGATCCAGATCACTACTTTTGTTTAATAAAGTAACTACACACACCCCCCGAGTGTATTTTTTCGTGCATGTCTATTTTACACGGAATGATTAGCTCCACAGTTATCGTAAAGACGAAGTAAATTAAACTGCAAATGGTAATGCTGAGCATCCAAAACCCCTTGGCAGCTCTCTCAGCCCCGTAAGTGCCTCTCCTTATTTGAAAAGAATTTGAAGGAGTACATGAGGTTCATTTCTTACAGAATCATGTAAGATACGAATGCAAATTCAGAGAAGTCAGTCTTCTTACGCATTACACAAACGATCAAAAATGTGTGGTCATGTTCAAACTCCAAAAAAGTTTAGTACCCAGTTATCTGAGAAACCCCTTTCTCCCATCATAAGAACAACTATCAGGAAGACCTGTCTGTACCTGCCGAAAGCCAGGTGCCAGATTGGGCTCTCATTTTCTTGTGTCCCTTGAGCTCCCATAACCGAGCTCTTAACCCTGAAGGTTTTACTTGCTGTTTTATCAACATTTTTTCAATCCATTCTGAGTTGCCAGATGATTTACCGATGCCAGCCAAAATTCATAGCTAGTTAAAGGTAAATGAATGCTGGAAAAGTAAAAAGAAGCATGCCAAAATCTCTCAAAGGGCTTATAAAACATTATCATCCTAGATAGAGTCTAGGCTAAGGGCATGCTGACCAAAATTTAGAAATATATAGCTTCTGTATTAGCAAAAAGAAACTTGAAGGGGCATGGCAAACTTTAACATCGCTTTCTGAAAAAGTCACCAGCTAACGCCAAGTGCTGAAAAGCGTTAGAGAAGCCAACCTTCTCCGCTGTCCCGCTCCCCGTGCGGGAGGGGTGTGAGTACAGCCGCTTTTACGCACACTACGTTAGCTTCACCTGTTACTGCTGTTCACCACTCCACGTTTTAAATGTAAAAAAACATTTTAAAATAGGACCGCATGGCAATTTTACTTCAAAAGTTTACTTCAGAAGGAAAGCTTAGCACAGGTGCTGTTCAGGAGGAACAGGGCAGAAGTACCTGTAACTGGTTCCTCAGAGAGATCTGGCGTTCAGCCATCAAAGCACCCCGGTACTTAGATGCCTTACCTAGGTAAAGCGAGGCGTTTTCTTTCTTGACATTGTCATCTAGGTAGGTTGGTCCCAAGGTATAGATGGGTGTCGAGCCCATGCCAATGAGGATTTGGGCACAAATGAATAAAGCTACATAGAGAGAGTGGTCGTTTCCACCGGAGTCCTTGACACAGGCCGGCGAGTCCCACTGCTCTTTGGCGGTGCCATTGCCAGTCACGCACAAGCCCTCGTTACTGACGGAGGAGTTCAATTCCTGGATCTGGTACGGCGGAGAGATGAAATGAGGTAAGGAGAAGAGCGCAGCCCCCAGGGCGATGAAAAACCCCCCTACAGCCAGCCAGAGCGGCCTCCGTCCGCGCCCCCCGAAGTAGCTGATGAAGACCACCACCACCAGGCTCCCAATGTCGAAGCAGCTGACCAGCAGCCCCGACTCCGAGCTCTTGAGGCTGTATCTCCGCTCGATGGTGGTGATGACGCTGCTCAGGTAGCCGGAGACCATGAGCGACTGGATGAAGGTCAGGAAGCACATGCACACCAAGAAGAACCGCGAGTCCGCCAGCACGGCCCGCAGGCACACTCTGCCCGGGAGGCCCGCCAGAAGCAGCGGTGGCGGCCGCAGGGGCAGCGGG